CTAAACAGCACAGTGATAGGGCTCGAGCCCAAACGAGTGTAAACCTCGGTCGGGCATTCACCAAGTGGAGAGAGCTGAGAGATTTGAAACTTTTTAAAACTGATCCTGAGTTGGCCCTTTTCCTAATCGACAGGTATGTAATATTTGTTTTTATTTAGAGAATATACCGCAACTTGTTAGATGTTGTTTCACTTCAATATATGACAACATGGAAGTTATAAGCAAGCTAAATGTAGCTGATGTGAACCACTTTTGTCTCGTAACGTTACAAAAAAAGCCACAAAATTATCTGTGACTGTGACCATGAACACAAATATACAGCAGGCAGTTGTCCTCAGTTTATAAGACATTCAGAGCTACACCAGAACATTTATGATTTTCCTCTCGCTCTCCAAAACAAATGCATGCGGTAATTGCTGGTTGCAGTCGAGATTTTAGGAATGAAGCCGAAGGCAGCAGTCAGAATTTTACGACACCAGGCTGTGGGTGTCATACCGCTTCGACCAAACGGGGCGCTATAATCAACGAAAACAGAAAGTTCTGCACAGCTGCTTTAAGCAGATAATAGCCCAGGCTACTGATTAAAAGATTAATGTTGAACTATTCTACAGATGTAAACGTGGCTGGACTGAGTTCAGGAGGTTTCACCCTCCACTACATCCATAACTCTGAATCAAACAGTTCTCCAGGTGCGACACCACCCACAGAAAAGCAGCTCATCACTGTGTCTTCATCCCCATTAAAACCTCATTCTTCCTCAGCTTGCCCCATGACAGCAGCTGCCATATGTTCACATCTCTCACACTGTCATGGCGCTCTCTCATCACGCTGCGTGTTGCTTAAACAAATCACATACACAGCTTCCTCCAGGAGGGGGTTGTTGGACGGGGGGGCTGTTACTGTTTCTTTGGAATAAAAGCCATAACTTGAATATGTACACAGTGCTGGTCGCCTTCCTCTGAGCTCGCTGTCTCATCTCACTCTACCTCCTGTTTCTCTTTCTGTCTCTTTGCCGAGGTTCTTTCTGTGTGCCAAGGTAACCTTCAGGGGATTGTGTCTTGTTATCTCACAACTGAATAATGAATGTTTTTGTTTGTTGCTTCCACTTGAGCAGGAGCGCAAACACATACACGCAGATTTTCTGTATGCTCACTGTGTTGGCTAATCAGGAAAATTAAGCTCCTTTTCTTGCCTCAGCGTCCTCGGAGTATTCGGCACGGTGTCATCAATACCTCGCTTGCTCTGTCTGATCTGCTCGGTCTCTCTCCCACCCTAATGAGCTGCGGAGAAATATCAACTAGACAAAAACAAGAGTGCTCAGGGATCAATTAATTGGGATATGTCAGCAATGATGATAGCGATGTGTGTGTGTGTGTGTGTGTGTGTGTGTGTGTGTGTGTGTGTGTGTAAGGACAGGTGTTTGTTCACTTAGTTTTTGCAAATTTGCGTAGTTCAGCAGATTTGACTTGTTTAACACCTGCTGACAGACGAGTTTTATCATCAGAGCGTGTCTCCTTGTCAGTTTCCATGACCTTACTTTACCTCCTGTAACACAAAGTTGTTACTCTTCACTTTGTGTGAAGGAACAACCTGTAACGTGTTGATGAGTGAGTTTTAGAGGTGCTGGTAGTCAGATTATGTTTCCTCAGGACAGAGCCAGCCGAGCTGTTTCCAGTCTTTATGCTGGAGCCTTATATTTACCAAACAAACATGACTTTTTCACAGCAGACATTTTGACTCCAGCAAGAAATGCACAGGTGTAATTAATCACATCAACGAATTGTCTGAGTGAGCAAGCATGCCCAGTGTTATGGTCCTGGATCTGAAACACCTAAGAGGACTCTGAAGACACTTTTAAAAGACTTAAGTAAGATGTGAGAGTGTAGTCGTCCTGCTACCTCTGTGAGTTCCCAGCACAGACGCACAGATTCAGCACTCCGTCTATATGCTATACTTTTATTAACTACTGCCCAGCACACAACAAAACAAAATCAGTCCCAATGCATGTGCCCACGTCTCCCAGTCCACTCAGTCTTACACCAAAAACTCATGCAGCGTCCTCCTGCTTGGTCTGAGCCGCAGCCCTCCAAGATCCAGCACACTACTGCATGAAAAAGGGAGACATGTAATCAGAGCAAACCAGCAGCAGCTGTGTCAATCAACTCACCTGGTGCTACTCTCATGAGCCACCCCCACTTCTCTCCCCTGCATCTGACCAACAACCACACCCACCTCCGCCTCCACAGAGAGATTTAGTCACACACTATAAGATCTTGCATAGACTGGAGATCCTGCAGGGTCACTATTTCCAAGATTACAATCAGATTCCTTTAAAGATTCTGGTGGAAAATATTACACCAAACTCCCTTTAAGAAACATGACATTTTAACAATTCCTTGCATTTTTTATTTTTATTTTATTTCATTTTATATACTTTATTAATCCCCCTGAGGGGAAATTCAATTTTTTCACTCAGTCTGAAAGACACACACATGCACAAACAGGACCTATACATGCACAAAGTGGAGAGATGTCAGAGTGAGGGGGCTGCCACAAGAACACATAACTCTGGAAACACAAGATAAAAGGCGTCACATGTCAACAGTGTTCTTACCAATTCGGCATCAATATAATCTATAAAGATAAACTGTATTTGTGTAAAAAATGTAAAGTTTGTCTCCTCAGCCCACTTCCAGCCTCCGGTTTGTTGCTATTTCAGATGAAGGAGATCATGAGAATGAGAGAACTGTTTAAAAAATTAAGAATTTTCACTGTGGTGGCTCCAACCAGAACTTATTTTAGCTCCACTAGTTTCACCTCCTTTTCCACGGTACAGGAGAACTGACACGTCTTCACTTTCTTGCGCCTTGTGAGTTTCCTCAATGTTTTTACTGATAACTAGGGGTGGGAATCACCAGAGGCTCCATGATACAATATTATTGTGATTTTAAATGTGTGTACTGGGATAAAATATATTACAATATGATACAATTTATTACCTGTTTTAAACTGTAAATTATGTTCACGGAGGAAACTGTGTCAACATTTGTTTTATCTAACAGGATAAAGTTTCAAGCCTGCTCATCTCACTGCAGTATTTTTTTTTTTACAGCAAATTGTATCTAGTGGACTGAAGAAGCAACTGATTATATTATTCTAGCAGGCTACCTAAAGTTTAATTTCTATTTGTAATATCAATAATTTATGTAATCAAAAAATCAATACTTGGCACTGTGTGAGGATACCATACTGCCATCAATTTTTTCCTCCACCTCTACTGTCTACTCAGCTTGCTGCTTCCTGTTTGTTGCTGGAGAGAGCGCAGCTATCAAATCAAACTCTCATTTGCATGAGCCGGGACTATAAACCTTTGATAATGTTAAACATGTTTGATTTTGTCGGAACGTCAAGACCAGAAAAAGACTGACTGAGTTTTCTGATCGCATTACACCAAACGATTGATATCAGGGGGGCGCATCTATCAGATAGATAGATAGATAGATAGATAGATACTTTATTCATCCCGAAGGAAATTAAGGCATCCAGTAGCTTATTCGACAGCAACACGACACATCCTCACACAGGTGACCATCTCACTGTGTGACTGCTGATACCACCTTCGTCATCACTAGGGACATTGCAGGTGTTACTAATCATGTTAACGATGGCTCCACTATATTCAAGTGTTCCAGCATTCATTGAACCAGGACCCTGAAACTAAACAGTTAAATTCATTCTGCTGTTTGCTCCTGTGTTACCGTGGTGACATGTCAAAATGTCTCCAGTGAGAAAAGCCTGTTCTGAAAAAGACATCATTTGTATCTGGGCTGAGATCAGTTCAGGAACTTTAAATGAAAATCATCATTAATCTGTCACTTTCATCAGATATGAGAGATCTCTGCACAAAGGAACAAATTGATTTTCACTGGAAGAAAATCAGGTCGTCTTAAACACCCTGCACTCCCACACAGTTTGATCAGCTGTCCACTCAGGTTGGAGGTGGGCGGAGCAACCCTGGAGTAACACAGTATTGATCATGATGACACATCATCTGTTGCTGTTTAATTTCTTTTTTAACAACCTGGGTTTGGGCCATCATTCATGTCAACTATTGGCATGTAATTATAACATGTCAATTATAACATGTACAACATGACACATGACATGAGTCCAGCGTGACAGGAACAGACATGTTGTAAAGACCCCCTGGTTTACGCCGGCCATTTTCATCCCCAGATCTTCAGATACACTTTGTCACACCTCTTGGCGTGTGAGTTGCAGGTCAGTTCACACCGCTGCAACTTTTCTCTGCAACGTTCTAAAATGGTTTCGTCTTGTTGTGAATCTTTGGTCTGAGAATGACTTTAAAGTGAACACAATAGGAGTGTTATAATCCTGTACGCCACAGCTGCACATGGTCAAACCCTAGCTGGTATTTACAGCTGGTCAGGGTTTTAAAGTTAAAAGATAAACTGGAGGTCTGGAACAAGTCTGCTCGTCTTTTTCGCTCATGTGTTTCCAAATCCCACCATTTAGGGTGGTGAAAGACAGTGTAGAAATGATGAAGTGTGTGATCTTTACAGCGCACATAATTTAACCTTCATAAAACTCCTTGCTGTTCAGTAGGAGTCCAACCTTCATCTCTCAGCATGACCCCTGCACACACTCTGTTTAACACTTACAGGCACCTGTGTCAGATTCGGGAGAGCACTCCACACTCAGAGAGGGAACACTGTGTTTCCATAAAGCCGGAGGCCGACTGATAAAAGCCCCAGAGTGGAGGACGGGTGATTACAGTCTGTCCTTACCGAGGATGTTAGAGCCAGTGTCTTATTGACTGCAGTAAGTGAAAGTAGGACAGTGCAGGGGCCACGCCGAGGACACAGCAGCCTGAAGTAGGTCATTAAAACACATTTAAGTGCAGCAGCACCAGAAACTCCCAGGTGTGATGTGAGCTCATAATGCAGGTGTGAAACAAAACCACAGTCCAATCAGCAGAGTTTGAATAAGCTGTAACTTTTATTGCACATTCCTGTTTGGTCTTGCAACGACCTTTCACCTTTTGAACTTTTAAGACCTCGGTCTCGACCAAACACTCAAGTCAGGAGTGGGATAAAGTCGCCCAGAGTAACTGATCACAGGTCAGATGTGCACATTCCCTTTACAAGTGAGATTTGAAGCATAGGGAGGTCATACTGATCCTTGATCTGCGACTGGGGAACACTTCAGTCCAGATCTTTGTGTTGACTGCATTACCCATAAGCCAATTCACTGTCTTAGAGCGGGACCAATGGGGAAGGGACAGTAGTGACATCATGGAGGGGACTAGGAAGTGTTCAGGGGAGCGCAGGAATTTTCTCAATTCCACTTTGATGCACTCCCAATGAAGAAAACTCCCTTTTATAATCTTGAGGCTTTGCAACCTTCTGTCCGTCTTAACTCCCTGAAATCCCCCCAAATAAACACACCTTCCCCCATCACACAAATACATAGGCTATCATTCTTAGTTTGTTTGTTTTTTTCTTCTCATTTTCTTGTGACAATACCTGCAACATGCTTCAAATCTTCATTTTGGCAAACCACAAATAAATTAAAACACAAACATTCATATAACACAATGTGACATTTTCTTTTTAGGACGCTTCGAAAGAAAAAGAAATATACGTACAATACAGAACCCCGAAAGAAAGAGAGAAAAGTAAAAGACCAAGAAAAGAGAAGCATTTGCATTGTTGTTTTTCCCATGTTTTTTCTTGCTTTTCTTGAAAAAAGATATACAGTAGCTAGCTACCAATCACATATCACATGCAGATATAATACAACATAATCAGTTCACCCAGTTAGTGTCTGCAAACTACCAATCTAAACTATATCACAAAATTATTCTCTTGAAACCAGCAAACACTCAGCGTTTGAGATATTTTGTCTTAGTAATAATTCAGTTTACAGTTTTCTCCGCTGACGAGCCGAGAGATCACTAAACCATCCACCCTGAAATGACGAGCCAAATTCAAAGACGCTTTCGTACATGATCACATACCAGATGGTGTGTTGTTTTACTTTTTTACTCTTTTGCCTTTTTTTATGATGGGAGTGTACATATTTGCTCACACGTGCACTCACACACAGACGGGCATTTGTTATCGAAGTCCAAACGCGGCATGCTGGCAGCGGCTCGGCTTCAGCTCAGCGGTTTAAACATCCTGCTCCAGGATCACGGGTGGGGCCTGCAGAGAGCTGACTGGCATCGAGATGCTCCTACACCCCTGTCTCTCCTCACCTAACCCCCCTGTCTGCCCTTCCCTCTTCCCCCCGAAACACAGACCAGGAGCGGAAAGTGACAAAATGTCAGTGCCGAGCGGGAGGTTTGACGTCCTCCATCCTTCTGCTCTCAGCTGCTCTTCTCTAACGACGCTCCGCTGAAATGTCAGACCAATTAGCAGCTTTCCCTCTGACATTCAGCTGGCAGATAGCAAAACAAACACACAAGGAGCCCGCTGGATTGGACGGACAGATAGTCTGTGGCTAGTAGGCGTCTGATTGATTGACACTGACGCTGCTGCAACCGCAGACTTAATATTAGATATTCATAAAGTCCTTTTAAAGGTTGGAACTCAGGAAGTGTGTGTCTCTTAAGTAATCGCAGCAGGCAGAGCAAATAATATGTCTTCGGCCATTTTGCAAGCCACCTGACATTTCCAGAAAGCAGTCGGTAGTGATCAAAGCCTCCCTCCTCTCCCTCTATTCTTCTTCTCCTCTCCCTACTGCCTCCTCTCTCAGCAGACATCAATCAGGAGGGCTCTGAGGCGTATTTAAAGCACCGCTCCATCTAGGGCGGCGCTCGAGCCCCTTTCTGTCTTCATTTCTGGGTGTTACCGCAGGCGTCAAGGCTGCAGGTGTACGCACAAGTGTGTGGGCGAGCTTACGTGTGTGTGTGTGCGTCTGGAGCTTAGCTAAACGTCCGAAGCGTATATTCTACTGACCTTTAGTTTTTCACATGGATCGGAGAGAGACAGACGAGATATTCAGTCACAACCACACGTGTGTTTACAGTACTAATAATCAGGAGCTGACAGAGAGAGTGGAACAAGACGGCGACGAGTAATTCAGCGGAAAAACAAAACAAATCAGCACTCCCTTTAGGCTTTAGTGTCATTCACAGTAAATCATATTCTTCTCTGTTTAAAGGGTTGTCTCCCTTGTTCACACGCACACACATACACGCAGACACATACACACACTGAGGCCTGGCCTTCAGCTGTACCATCTGGTATCTAAATCATGGGAATTACAGTCTTCTTCCTCTCCTACACACACACACACACACACACACTCTCTCTCTCACACACACACACACACACACACAAGATAACATGAGAGTAGAGAGAGAAAAAGAGGTGACTGACTGTCATTCTATGTTTCATACATAGTCTCTGCATAAAGCAACATGTGACGTTGTATTCCTCCATTAGAAATCAATATCCATCTACGCAACAGTGAGCTCTAAATTTAGCCACAAGAGACGGAGAGAAGGACAGAGAAACAAAGTGAACGAGCAAGCTAAAGAAAGAGATCGAGTAAAGAGACAGAGAGAGCACAGCTCCATGTAAATTACAATCTTCATGTTGCATTGAACTGTGAGCAACGGCACAGTCGAAAGAAAGAGGAAATGAAGGAGTGAATGAGTGAGTATAAACGCCAGTGCGCTGCCCGTCTATTAAACATTAACAGCTTCATTTATATGTAAATGACCCGACAGCTACAGAGAGAGACGGTGGGAGTGACGCCAGTTCAGTGCCGTAGAGAAGAAGGGGAAGGAGGGACGGGGAGGGAGGGGAGGATGGGATGGCGAGGACAGGAGAGGAGAGGGGGATGAGTCTCCTTCATTCAGTAGTCTTTCACACGGGTGGAAAAGTCCACACTGTCCGATTGATCCTGTACGTGCATGGGTGTGCGTTAAGACAAAAAAAAAAAAAAAAATCCACCGACAGTAACACACACTCAAACGCACGTACACACACTCCCAGCTGATGTCCGATGGAGTGACAACAAACACACATACACCTCCCTCTCAGGTCTTTCCAAAATGGGGGAAAGAATCTCCCTGGGCGAGAGGGAGGGGAACCAAAGTCACCTCTTGGTGGGGGAGAGACGATGATGGCGGCGTGTCTGCTCTCCGAGAGTTTTGGTGGAGGTGAGGACAAAAAAAAAAAAAAAAAAATCCAAAATATAATAACACAGACACACAAAACAAAAAAGAAAAAAAAAAACTCTGAGTGAAACAGCAAAAGGTGAAGATGGGAGATTGTTGAGTTAGCGTGGTGTGTCGTTTTGCGTGTCGGGGCTAGCTGGGGTTTGTCCGGCTAGCGCGGGGGTCGGAGGGCCGGCGGCCCGGCGATCAGCCGTCGGACACGGGCGGGGACACCCAGCCGTACTTCTCGTGGGTCTTCACCAGGGACTTGAAGGTGGCCTCGGCTTCCTTACGGCTGAAAGCCTTCTTGGACTTCCCTGCTTTCCTACATATACGCCCCTGTGAGACACAGACAGAGAGGGAACAAGGTCAGGACTCTGTGGAGAGATACAAAACACAGAAACAGTCTCACTGGAGGAATCAAGTCATTCTTTACTTTCACGCACTTCTGCCACCTTGCTGTTCTGTATAAACAGTACGACTGTAGAATCGGGGGACTTTTAAGCTGGCATCGGAGGTAGTAACGGTGCCAAAACGACCTCTGTGTAAAAAGGGACAGCTGGCAGGACGGAGGTGACGATTTGACGACATATTATGTGTGCGACCCACCACTGAGAGATTTAAAAAGCAGCTGATAGCAGTTAGCAGCTAACTCAAAGAAGAAGTGCAGTGGACGAAAGTGTCCGCAATTTGGGACAACAATAAGATTGGGAGCTCCTTACCCTCCGAGCAGAGGACAAGATTAGCTGCCATAAAACAGGGACGCTAAATGACATGTTAAGACATTATTAATGTTTATAATGCTCTGCCGACGCATATGTTATATGTCACACTAGAGGCTGACGCTGCTATGTTACACATGATGCTCGTTATGCCTCTGTTGATTCTGCGATGCCGGCATACTGTCTAAAATCACTCACTGGAGCGGGATGATGCTGCCATTGTTTAGTTCTGTGTAAAAATGCAAAGCAGGCATAAAGACGGGACTTCTTAGCAGCTCTGTAGTGCAATCTAAGAGAGTAAAAAGGGCTTAGGGTTCTTAGTGGTTCTGCAGACATTCATACCAAACTAATCACCAGAAAAATGTTGGCATTGTACATTTCTGCAAACCACCGATATGTTACATTGGTACGTAACTGTGCAGCAGATATATTGAAACTTTATGTTCAAACAATGCTGTGGTTAATATGAGGTTAGCTTTAGACACAAAAACCACTTGGTGATGGTTTTTTTGGCTTAAAACACCTGGTCTTGGAAGTGTGGGTTTGCAGAAATGAACAATGCCAACATTTTCACCAGGACAGAGGTGCATGAGGTGTCATGTCTGTCATGAAGTCTCTGGGGATTTGGGTGTTTCAAAGAGTTGAAGAGAAGTTTACATTTCACAAATGTGGGTTTTCAAAGCGGGAGGTCAACATTTTAAAAAGCTTATTCACTTTCTGGCCGAGAGTTAACCTTCACACTGTCCGAGGTTTGCCCACAGACTCCAAAGGATGTCATTTTTGTCATGTCTCAGAGGCGCTGTAATCTGTTGTTCCAGTTTTTCAGAAGTTTATAAATCAATTTGTTCCCAATGACGTCATATCTTTGTTTCCTGTTTCTGTTTTAATTAGTGATTTTTAACAGTACTAATTTATTGGGGTTTTAGGAGAGCCCCAAATGCACCCAATCCCACAGTTTAATAACAGAGCTTTTACTGAGTTCATGTTTGCCATGAGTCCTGATTTTAACCATCACACACTCATCAGTCAGGTCAGGTCAGACACATTTGTAACAGAGACAGATTTCTTCAAGTGCTCTGTAAATACTGTTCTTCACCATAAGATGATGTTCAAAGTCGTAATAAAATGTTTTACGGCTATTAAATGTAACTGATCAATTCAAGGAAAATTGCTGTTTGTGAACCGTTGCTCCTCCTGTCACATGTGACAGTTTGTCTTGAACATAACATGAGCCACATCATGTGCTGTAAGAGCCTGTTGTGTGAGGTATTTATAGTTCTATGTAAACAACATTCATTTTACAGTATGTACAACTTGAACAATCTGAATTAGATTTACTAAACCTTAACTCTGACAGCGGACCATACTCAGAACAAGGTCTCTATCTACTTTTGTTTAAAAGACAAAGAATGACTTTGGATTTATTTCAGTTATTTTATATCGGGGTCAAAAAATCAACACAAGTCAAATTTATATTAAATTACTACAAACTAAATGAAACTAGAATCAAAGAATGGTGATTACTAATGTGAATGTCCTTGGGATAAAAGCTTCAATATGTAGTTTATAAAATAATATATTTTTATTTCACACAATATGTGAATTAACTGTAGGTTTCCTATAATCAGATGACATTATAAATAAATACACATAATAAATAATGTTCGAAGAGGACAGATTTATTGATGGTTGTTTCTTACAGTAGTTTATTCTTGGGGTTCCCAGGTGCCCCAGTATCTAGTCCTCACGCGTTAAATATGTTGGTCAAATGAGGGTTTTAAATGAAAGTTTATAACATGTTTATCCACTTTAGCTTTTGCATGGATTAAAAAACGGGATATAACGTGTTAATTACTGAGATTAAAAGGTGCTAGTAGCCTGTTTTGCTAGATTTTCCCAGTCTCTGTGCAAACCTAGCTGACTACCAACATTGTTAGATACTGATGTTTGATTGAATTTAGTTTGTGACGTTGGGAGACCAAAATTACACAACAACGTCTAATGCCAATGTAAATTTGACATCTGGTTTTGTTGTTTTTAAGCTGTGTTGCTAAGTAACCAAAATCCAACGTCTGCAAAATATTCTAATGTTCACATCTACACAACGTGAAAATCTAATGTTATTAGACATTTAAAATGTCGTCAACCTGATTTTCATATCAACTTAAAGAGTGCAACGTCTTTCTGAGCTGACCTTTGACCTTTTGGATATAAAATGTAGTCAGTCATCACTCATGTCATCATTTTATCCTGTTCGACATTTGTGGGAAAGTTTGTCATAATCAGTGTATGAATTCTTTAGTTATGGCCTGTGCTCGCTTTAGCCTCATACAACTTAAAGTACTGCACAGAGCCCATCTCTCCAAATCCAGGCTTTCCGAATTCTATACGGAGATGGAGGATAAATGCAGCAGATGCCGGCAAACTCCTTGCGACTTGAGCCATATGTTTTATATGTGTCCGGCACTCCAAACTTACTGGGGCAATTTTTTTACCAATTTGTCTTCAGTCCTTGACTTTGTTTTGCAACCATGTCCACTTATAGCAATTTTTGGAACCCCCTCTGATGAGGTTGCTCTTAACCCTAAACAAAAACAAATCATTGCATTCACTTCCTTATTAGCTAGACATGTAATACTACTACACTGGAAGTCCGCCAAGAGCCCTTCCACAGCCCAATGTCTTAATGATGTCATGTTCTTTTTGAAACTTGAGAAAATAAAATACACACTGAGAGGCTCAAGGAAGAAATTCTATGACATATGGCAGCCCTTCATAGATCATTTCAACAAGTTAGTGCAGCTTCCTACCAGTTGAACCCATCAAGCATTTGTTTTCCACTATGTACATCTTTTTAGCTGGCTTGTTTTCTTGATCCTTCATTTTGCCTTCCTGTTGAGCATTACTACTGTAGCCGCGAGGTCCATCCCCAGTGTGTGTGTGTGTGTGTGTGTGTGTGTGCGTGTGTGGGAGGGGCGGGGGGGATTTGGGGTGGTCAATTGGATCCTAAGTGGGAATGTTCATATTTTTATGTATAATACTGTTTATTACTGTTTTTTACTTGCTCTATATGTTAGTATATATATTATATTTTGGTTGGGTTATAAAAAAGAAAAAAGATATTTGTATTGTACTCTACTATGAGCAATGCTGTACAGGATATTTTTTTTGAATAAACAAATCTTAAAAAAAAAAAAGGACTCTGACATTAAATAAAAGTGTAACAAAGAAAAAAAAAGACATGTTTTGTGACGTTACAGCGACCTTTGACCTTCAACCATGAAACCAGTTACCAGTTCATCGTTGAGTCCAAGTGGACGTTCGTGCCAAATTTTAGGAGGTTCCCTAAAGTCCTTCTTAAGATATTGCATTTACTAGCATAAGACGGAGGCAAGGTCACAGTGACCTTTGACCACCAAAATCTAATCAATTAATCATTGGTCAAATTGGATGTTTGTGCCCAATTTGAAGAAACATATTCACAAGAATGGGATGGATGGATGGACTGACATCCTATTGACGTATGGTGCCAGCTAGCTTGGAAGCTAAGCTAACTGATTGCTAACTGTAGCCAAATCAATCCTGTCATGTACATTAGAGGAAGTGATTTACAAAAGTATTAACAAAAAAGTCCAAGTAGATAAAGAGACAATATAACTAAACAGATCAATAAATATGTTGAAATATTAAACATTCAAATGTTGTTTTTGTGTGTCTTATCAAAGACGTTGGTAGAGAGGTGTTGTGCTGCAGAAAGTTGGACTCATGACCTCAGTATTTCAAACCTCTTGGCTGCAGCCCTGCATAAAGTTACACTGTCTGCCAAAGCTGATATTTCCACACAATATATTTGTCTGTCAGTCAGTCAGACGGAAAACCCCCAAATCATAAATGAATTTTCACAAAACTGGACAGACAAGCAGGACCTGAGCCAGAGAACAATTGATTAGATGTTGGCGATGATGCCAGTGTAGGACCTCCGCCATTAGGTGATTCATGAGCTTTTTTTTGCCATAACTATGAAATTAATGGAGACAGAGGCGTCCTGCCAAGTCCTGTTGTTGTTGTGTTTACCAGCCTACAAAAATATAAAGCTACTATGTGCAGACTCTTTATGACTGCAGCTTCTGTTTAGACATACAATTATTAATCAAACTTATGATCATTATCTTGGAAAGTCTATTAAATAAAAAAGGAAAATGGCCGTAACAGTTATCTAAAGGTCACAGTGAAGTCTTCAAATATCTAATTTAGTCTGATTAACAGTTTAAAACCAAAGATATTCAGTTTATGATCCTATAGAACAGAGTAAAGCATCAAGACACTAAAGACGCTGCATTTTTAAAATCTGACACATCAGTAGGAGGAAAGAAATGTCTTGTTGCATGTTGACATTGATTTTGCTTTCTGGGTCACAAGAAGAATATCATTCTGGGAAATTACACAAAAAACAGCTTATGTCAAAATATTATTTGTCAGATCTGGATATGTGTTGTCAGATCAAAAGAAAGATGGCTCCCCTGCTCACCACTGTCAGTCGTCTTGTCAAGCTCATTTTAGAAAAAACTTTTTCAAGTCTCTCCAGACAAACTATAGAAAGACAGAGACACAGCCCAC